TGACGCTGCGCCTGAGCTGAGCTGTTGCTGAGCTGCCAACAGGTGGCAAGATGGCTCAGCTGGTATAATAACAAGATTGTCATGTTCAATGGTGGGCTATGCCCACCCTCAACTAAGACTGAACTCGGCACCTTGAGCTTAGAGGCCATGAGCTGCCAAAAGGAAGCCAGATGGAGACTGGCGCCCTCCACAACAAAGACTGAAGAACGACAACTTGGCTGGTCCCTTCCCCAATTCCCCAACACTGTGACCTCCCCTAATTCCCCAATAAAATCTTTTTAAAAACTGTTTTTTTAAAATGGTTACTTGATTTACACACATTTGTGCATGACTTAGCAATATACATAATTGCACGCACAGACTGTTTTGATTCAAGTGCACATCTTTTAATCCCTAAGAACCTGAATTCGAAAAGGACTCTACGTGTCCATGAGCTAACCCTTGGGTTCTCCTCCTTTTTCCATCCTTTACACAGAGGCATAGACACCATCATTTAAATATTGACTGGCCGCGCCTACTGACAAGCACCGTGACGAGGAATACACAAGAGAAATGACCTCTGTACCCAAGTAGCTGAGTCAATAATGGGATTTACCTGTCATTGTGTTTCTCTCTAACGTATAAAGTAACACCAAAATATGATGTCACGTCCCCAAAGCACCGTTTAGAAATAAGGAACTTCAGACTGGGGAGGTTGGGCGGTTCACCCAAAGATGCACCCTGGGGAGAAGTGACCCAACCAAATCAGGACTCAACTCCAGTTTTCTGATGCCAAGCACAATGTCCCCTTCCCCCCTACCCCCTAAATTTTGGCAGGTGTGTAGAAATATACATTCAGCCTGAGGAATTCCCTAGGAAAAGTAGAGGCTATTCGCGACGTAAGAGCTCTGATTTCATTTTAGAGAAAATTGCAAGCACAGTCCAATTTACGGGGTAGGTTACTCCATTTGTGAAAAGAAAAAACTGACATAAAATTAAAATAATACATACGGTAAAGAATGGTAATGGTGAAAGAATATATTTCCAGGAAAAGAGCCTCTGCACTTTGGGGCTGACAACTGCTGACAGGGGATCCGTGCCACTGTCCCGTGCTGGCGTCGGGCTCAGAAGGACATGCTCACAGCTAGGAGGCTGGTTGGGGGAAATTGCAAGGGGGTGGGCAGGGTAGAGGGACCCTTACAGCAAGGGACAGTAGCCTCTGGGAGGTCACACAGAGTCACTTCACCACGGGGAAAATTGAGCATCGGGCACAATCTCCGCTTTCGTGTTGCTTTCCCTCAAATAACCTGTCATTCCCGTGTGCCTCTCTGGGAAGCAATACGCAGGATGACCCAGCAGGGGTGAGGCCACATGCCTGGAGTTCCTGCACCCAGTAGGTCCTCAACGGATATTCTGGATGAAAGACGCATTCTACAGCATCTGTGCTGTCAAGATACAATGACTCAACTACAGGTCTCTTGGTCTAAATGTCACATATGGGGACAAGTCCTGAGTACCTAGGGAAGGTTGATATGTTAAAATTGAAAGGCTTGTGCCACCCTGCTATGGACAGATTGTCCCCCCCAAAATTCATATATGGATCCCCATTATGATGGTATTTGGAGGTGGGCCTTTGGGAGGCGATTAGGTCATGAGGGTGGGGCTGTCATGAATGGATTGT